AAGACAGTGATTACAGTAATAAAGACAGTGATTACAGTAATAAAGACAGTGATTACAGTGATAAAGACAGTGATTACAGTATTAGAGACAGTGAATACAGTGATAAAGACAGTGATTACAGTAATAAAGACAGTGATTACAGTAATAAAGACAGTGATTACAGTGATAAAGACAGTGATTACAGTAATAAAGACAGTGATTACAGTGATAAAGACAGTGATTACAGTAATAAAGACAAGTAATTACAGTAATAAAGACAGTGATTACAGTGATAAAGACAGTGATTACAGTGATAAAGACAGTGATTACAGTGATAAAGACAGTGATTACAGTAATAAAGACAGTGATTACAGTGATAAAGACAGTGATTACAGTGATAAAGACAGTGATTACAGTGATAAAGACAGTGAGTTTGATATTCCCCTCAGTAACAGTAAGCCTCGTCCAACTTCTGAAATAACGTCCACACAAGAGTGTCCCAGGGTACAGAGAGATCACACAAAATGATGGTCTTCTTGTGGCTTGAGATGTAATGTGAAAATCTCATATGTAACAACATGGATCTTTCTATAAAAACTCATATGGTCATAACATGGGTGGAAGCCACTAGAGCTCTGTCTAAATTAAGCACACCACTGCCCCTTACTGAATCCACAGGTATATCGTTGGTTGGTTTGGTTGGTTTGTTGTTTAACGCCGCACTCAGTAATATTCCAGCTATATAGCGGCGGTCTGTAAATAATCGAGTCTGGACAAGACAATCCAGTGATCTACAGCATGCGCATCGATCTACGCAATTGGGATACGATGACAAGTGTCAACCAAGTCAGCGAGGCTGACCACCCGTTCCCGTTAGTCGGCTCTTACGACAAGCATGGGTTACTGAAGATCAATTCTAACCCGGATCTTCACTGGTCACAGGTATAATGTACAGATGAAACGTTGTTACACAAGGTATAACACTGCCTCAAAACAACTCACACTTTACAAAATTGATAATATGTACTTTCGTATTTCAGCCACCGATTAAAGGTTATGATACTAAAATCAGTAAAAAAATACAGTCCCTGTCATTGATATTCACAGAGTTTACAGACGGCCTACACGAGGCCTGCATGCATGGAAGACCACAAGTGCTCCCCAAAGTGTCGTAAGTCTCTGGTACTTTATACAGTAAAACCTCTCTACACCAAACTTTCTCTAATTGTCACCCTGTATGTCATATGATGCACCGTAAAACACGGCATCATCTTACTATTTTTTATCCTACGTTTGAACATCTATCTGATCCTTCATTTCTGCACTGATCTAATTGTTGCGTGGTGGACACAGGGGGTCAAGTTGTTTGTGTACAGTTGCGTCGTTTAGTTCTGCCAGGAACCTACAAATCCAATCCAAAGACTTCCGTTGTCACTGAGGATTTCCTCCTCATTGTCCTGACACGCCGTGATGAAGCTGGAACACTTTGAAAAGCGGTGTTAGTTTCAATTCACATATTCATTGTTGATGTTTGTCTTCAATCTGTGGGTCAAAGCTGTTGTATTTGTGGCTTTGTCGCGCTTTGGTTAATTTTGACATGTTTTGCTTGTATTTGCGCCACAATGCGACAACGCAATAATGTCCCCTCTAGGATTCCATATAAACAAATTGTCTGGAAATACCTGGTCGCCACGCATTCACAAAATAGGTACAGAACCATCTAGTCATCCATCTTGAATCAGTTTCCCAGTTTATGTCATTATGTCATTACAAAAAAAATTCATGATTCATTTCATGACCAGGAACGATGCATATATTGGGGACGTCATGCACGACAGACGCTGACTGCAGGGACGTCACGGCAGCGGCGTGTAGAGAGGCCACATGTCAGTGCAAGCCACACTTTCACACCAGACACGCCTATGATTCGTGTGTAGAAGGTACATAGTATTACTTTTATTTACTTCTGAAGCTTAAAAACTATTTTTACCCAATTACTAAATTAATGTATACAGTGGAAGCCCTCCAAACCGGCTGCCCTCCAATGCGGCATGCTCTCAATATCGGCACTAGAAATCTAGACTTGCCACATTTTCTAGACTTGCGCTTTCTTGGATATATTTGCTTCAGGGTCTGTATGATAAACTAGTGCTCGACCGGATGATATCTTTGTTGATGAATAAGGAATATGATGACTATCAACACGTTGTTCACTCGTATTTTAGGGCACACGGAAGATCATTCTCAGGTTGAAAAAGAAAAATTTCTCTAAACCGGCACACCCTCTGTACCGGTATTTTTTGCCGGTCCCAACGAATGCTGGTTTAGCGGGCTTCCACTGTATATATTTATTGCATATATTATACAATGTGTAAAGCCGTGATATTGCTGGAATATTGCTAAAAGTGGGTCAAAACTATACTCATTCATTCCTTGTTGTGACTAATAGCGTGTTATCTAATCTTGAAGACTTAGACACGGACGAACACGCCGTTGAACGTTACACTGATAGTAACAGTCGCATCGCGACATTGCGGGCTTGTCAGTAGTGAAGGATTGAGTGTAAAGTCCCTGGTGACAGCATATCTTACAAGGTATTAAAGCAATCAGGTGTCAGCTTATTGGTGGACAATAACTAACACTATGGAATGCGACGTTTTGGCTATTAGTATTTGTCGCATTGTCGCGGTTATTTTGACGTGCTATGTATGCTTGGTTTTGTAAGGGTGACAACGCCAGAATGCGACAACGCGACAGCGCGAAAATGTCCTTCCTAGGATTCCAAAAAACACTGTCACAGAAAGTTTGTTTGATGTTTAAGGCCGCACTCAGCAGTATTCCAACTATATGGCGACGGTTTGTATTTGTCGAGTCTGAACCAGACAATCCAGTGATCAACATCATGAGCATCGATCTACACAATTGGGATACGATGACATATGTCAACCAAGTCAGTGAGCCTGACCACCCGATCCTGTTAGTCACCTGTTACGACAAGCATGGTTTACTGAAGCCCAGTTTTAAGCATCATGTAAGTGTCTGATCTTTTAATTACTGTATTGTCAGATCTAAATTCGAATATTTACAGCTGTAAGTTTGACAACTGCTGACATAGACAGGAATGAAGCAACATATTTGTACCGTCGACCATGGTCATCGGATCTTGGTAAGATCAATAGAGCAAAACCTTAGATGATTGGCCGTCCACACCTTCCATCTAATAGATGTCCAATGTCCAATGACAACATGTTTTAATGACGGAACAATCGGGTTCACTTAAAATTAATTAGTGTCATGCGAAGAAAGGCTATGATCCATTTTGGATATTTATTGTTTATATGATCACGTGTCTCTCCTCTACAATAGTTTGACATATTTTCGATGGATAAACTTCAAAATATGTATATTAATTTGAAACTGCTTTCTCTGTAGCTCAACACTGCACCTCCTTCAGCACCAACTTCACCGTCACACGCGGCTACGCCCTCACCGACTACAACAATGACGTATATATGTCCAGATACACTTTCAGCCAGTGCAGACTCGCCTGTATCAGCGCCACCTATCTCTGTCGCAGTTTTGAATTCGGTCCATCTTCAGGGTCCTGCTTCCTGAGTTCAAACTCCTGTTCCGACATGAAGAACGTGTTCTGCGGTACCAATGCCCAGTTTGACTACTACAGCCGCGACTGCAACTAGATCCTGACCTAGCAGCATCGGCGGCGGCGAGGAAGCCCAGTGGTAACATCTTCACTTCTTACGAAATCGGACAGGGTTCTTTTCCCGTATAGACAATCCAGCAAGATGGTGCACTGTACCTTCACCATCATTCCTTCATCCAATCACATTTATATCATATTTATCCCCCCCTAAAATTAACCTACTTAAATGAGGCAATATTGTTTGAACTACCTTCTGTATATTCATTGTTCATTAAAACGTTGCATCCAGTTCCCAAAAACATAGCACAGAGGGTTCCGGATTGGTTAGAGCATATCTAAACATGTAAGCAGATAATTCTGTACTACATTATCAGCAAGGTGGTTCAGTCAAGTCATAGTATACTTCCGCGATATCTAACGTTACGTCAGTAAATACAAACTTGTCAAACTGATAGTGACATATTGAATTTGTATTTCTAATGTTATTTCGCTCATATTATATTAAAGAAGTTGTATATCCATAGAACTCACCTCGTTGTTCATTTCTAATGCATACGGCAGCAAATCCGGTCAGTTATCTATATTTATTGAGGCTCTAACGGAATGGGAAGTGACGGAGGATGGACAACAAATACTAATACACCTTTAACATTTTTTTCCCCTGCTTTTAACTATTCTGGATATATAAATATTATATTCTCTCCTAAATACATACATGTTCTACAGAAAGAACCTCATACAGCCCATGTTAGGTGGCGACTAACGGGATCGGGCTCACTGACTTGGTTGACATACGTCATCGTGTCCCAATTGCAAAGGTCGAAGCTCATGATGTCAATCACTGGATTGTCAAGACTCGCAATATATTAAGCTGACTAGGACGTAAAAAATTAAACAAACTACACAAAGGACGGCTACTTAACACGTGCAACCAGTGAAAATCCGGGTTACAATTGGTCTTCAACAACCAATGCTTGTCATAAGATGCGACTAACGGGATCGGTGGTCACTGACGTCGTTGACATATGTCATCGTTTCCCAGTTGCGTAGATCGATGCTCATGACGTCAATCACTGGATTGTTTGCACCAGATTCAATTATTTACAGACTGCCGCCATATATGTAGCTGGAATATCGTAGAGTGTGGCGTTAAACAACAAACAAAAAACCTTTAAACTCATACACTATGGATAAGATTATTATCTCGCTTCATGGTCTTACTCATTCTCTTTCCACAGAGGTTACTTGTCATATCTTCCTCGTAGGAAGGTATGACAAGTAACCTCTGTGGGAAGAGAATGGGGTTAACTTTCAATCAGTGTTTCCGGGAGATAGTAACAGAAAACATGATGTCAAATAATTAAAACAATATTACTTTTATTTCCACAAGAGTCATTCCAATTAATCCAGACATTTATCAATAATTGTATACGGATGATGTCATTTGAAAGCGTCCATTTGATAACTGCACTAACAGTGTCCCCAAATCAAAATGTTATCTATGTTGAACAGATTTGTGCGTCGTTACATAAAGACGCTATGTCGACGCTGGAAAAATCTGTCTTGATTATTTTCCCAGTAGGATCTTGAAATAATATAAATGGATTCCTTGTGATAAAACCAGGTGTCCAGGAAAAGGGGAATCTTTTCCTAGTCACACATTCAACAGGAACATACCTGCATACATGTGTATTTACCTATTCAGCAGGAACATACATCTATATATGTATATTTACCCATTCAGCAGGAACATACCTGTATATATATGTATATTTACCCATTCAACAGGAACATACATGCATTTATTACCTACGAGTGCGAAAATATCGGGGTTCATATTTTTCATACGATGCCCAAGGGCAAAATATCACTTTGCCATGGTGACGTGACGTCATGAACAATGCTATGAGGTCACGTTTCTTCTGTGACTTTGTGTTCTACATCGGCGACGGCGGGTAGCCAGCCTATGTTTGAAAGTAGATTTGGGTTTATTTTCCTCAAATTGACGACTTCGTTAATAAACAGAATATTATATATATATATATATATATATATATATATATATATATATATTCGTGCCAATATCACACTATGTTTACGACACTCGTGCCTAATGATCGGTATATCCCTCGCTTACGCTCGGGAAATACCAACATTTAGCCACTCGTATCGTAAACATAGTATGACATGTGCACTCATATAATATTCTCTATATATGTATATTTACCCATTCAGTAGGAACATACATGTATATTTACCCATTCAGCAGGAACATACATGTATATTTACCCATTCAGCAGGAACATACATGCATATATGTATATTCACCCATTCAGCAGGAACGTACATGTATATTTACCCATTCAGCAGGAACATACCTGCATATATATATATATATATATATATATATATATATTTACCCATTCAGCAGAAACATACCTGCATATATGTATATTTACAAAGCTGAATAATGAAATTTTCTCCGAATGGTTTGGATATGGGGAAATTGTCACTGTTACTAAACGTTATAATGGAAAGTCAAAACTAATAAATGTTGAATTTTTTTGTCAATATGTATATAAATATGTATCAGTGATTCTACAAAATTAATTGTCTCAAGTATTGCACGAAGTCTCTAGATTAAAAACGACTATTAAAAAAATAATTACATGTTTTATAACACCAGCCTCGCTAAAATGAAGCGATTACTTTACATTTTCGGTGGTATTGTATCTACATATTTGATTTACAACATGTCATATTCATCAAAAAGCAAAGATAGAGTTTAGTTGATCATGTAGCGCTATATGGAGGGGGCGACACGGTGTAAACGGGGGCCGGGTTCTGCACTCCGTACTGGGGGGTGAGGGCCATGTTGTTCTGCACTACCGTCTGGCCGCCGTACATAACGGGGGAACGCTGAAAACAAATAATGTGGTATGGGGTTATCAATGAACGGGTGCGTTTGAAAAATATGTCAATGAATTCGTGTGTTGAAGACCATCCTCATGGTGTGAGGTTATTAGTAAATAAGTGCGTTTGAAAAAAATGTTTCTACCGGTGAAGATCCGGGTTAGAATTGGTCTTCAGTAACCCATGCTTGTCGTAATTATGGGGCGTTTAACGGGATCGGGTGGTCAGACTCGCTGACATGGTTGACACATGTCAAAGTATCCAAATTGTGTAGATCGATACTCATGTTGTTGATCACTGGATTGTCTGGTCAAGACTCGATGTCATCGTATCCCGACTCCGTTTGCTTATGATGCCAATCGCTTGACTACCCTGTTCAGTCCCGTTTAATTACAGACAGCTAATTAACTGGTGCTGTATGTTTTCAGCGAGTGAGTGCCACGCCGCACTCAACAATATTCCAGCTATATAATGTCTGTCTGTAAATAATCGAGCCTGAACCAGACAAACCAGTGATCAACAGCATGACTATCGATCAAAGCAATAGGGATACGATGATATGTGCCAACCAAGTCAGCGAGGCTGACCACCCGTTCCCCTTAGTCGGAGACCAATTCTTAGCCGAGTTCTCACGTGTGTCAACCTGGGGGAAAGCAAAGGTAGAAAATGTCCCAGACGTTTTTCACTTTGATGACGTCCATATTGCTGATCACAAGGATCAGAAGGATCATAATCGGAGAAACCAGAAAAAACTAAAGGGTAGTGAATGAGTGAGTGAGTAAGCGGGGTTTTTTCCCAGTTATACGGCACGTCAGCTTGTGTGAGATAATTTCGATGTGATGCTGATCTAAGATGTGATCACTTTGATTAAGTCCACGAGGACTATGGTACTGGCAAACCAAGAAACACACATGTAATTATAGCGAATATGGTATTTGAACCCACGGTCATAAGTTCCTGGCACGCACAAGGGAGGTAACTAGCATTATTCGTATGGGCCACCCGTCTGTAGTGTAAGACGTAGTACTTTGAATTAATGGAGGAGCAGGATGTACAGTTACGGAAAACAAAGTCGTTCTTTAAAAACAAATGATCAAACTACATTCCAAACCATAAAAAAAAACAATGCAGTAAAACTACGTTTATAACAGACTCAAGTGGACCACCAATTTTTGTTCGTTACAACCCTAGTTCGTTTTACCGTTTGATTAAAATATATAGCAAGAGGCGTGACCAAACAATTTGTTTTATCCGTCATTTCATTATAAACGTGTTCGGTATAATTGTAGTTTACTTCCCTGATAACGCTCTAGTCAGGACTCGAAGTGTCTTACCCAAAACACAGTCCCGTATGTTCTTCGTCTATAGACTGCAAAAGAAATGCCGAAGAATATGAGGACGGTACAGGTGACGGCGACAGCAACACCGGCGATGCTTCCTGCTCCCCAGGTACACCCGGAGGTTTCATCGGAGTCGTCGGTGCAGTCGTCGTAGCCGTCACAAGTGACGGAGCTGTCCACACATCGGCCGTTATCACACTCATATTCGCCATATTCGTCACAGACACCTGCAGAAGAGCATAACTCTGGTATTGAAGTACTTGTTTTGTTTCAAATTGTTTGTTCCTTGTTTAACGCCGCACGGGTGCGGCGTAAACCATAACTCACTCACTCACTACTGTTAGAAAGGTCTGCTTCGTATTTGTTGCTAGGTGTACCACTCAAATATATGCCTGCATTACCACATTGGAAATACTATGGTAAGTTATTGAACTAGGGTCAGACAAACCAGTGATAGATATTGTCAGCCAAGAGATGATGACACGATGACAGCTAGGTCACAAACTAGACCACCAGGCCCATTTAGTCGCCTTCCAGAAACAAAGGGTGGTGGGGACCCATCACCATAAAAAAAAATCAATTTATGAGTCGATTTATTGAGTGCGTGGGTCATGGATTGACTTTGTGAAATTTGGCGTCATCTTGTCACAATGGTATGGTCGAGGCTGATACTTTCGAACATACTGCTGCAACATTTCTCCTAGTGCATACAACTGCAACAATGAATAACTGCATCGTATGGTCCAGATTCGAATGTTTGGAACAACCATACATCTGTAATTTTAAGAACGCAGCGTTAAACGACACAACATCTAACCCTGAGTACCCGTGAAGGTCCGGGTTAGAATGTACCTTCAGCAACCCATGCTTGTCGTAAAAGGCGACTAACGGGATCGGGTGGTCAGGCTCGCTGGCTTGGTTGACACATGTCATGGGTCCCAAATTGTGCAGATCGATGCTCATGCTTTTGATCACTGGGTTTTCTGCTCCAGACTCGATTATTTACAGACCAACGCCACATAGATGGAATATTGCTGAGTGCGGCGTAAAACTAAACTCACTCACTCATTCTAACCCTGAGCGCCATTGCGGTTTAATAGCGTCGGTTTTAACATGGACCTTTGACGGACGGACGTTATATTTGACAGGCGAACTCACCATTGGCAAACTGCGACACCAAGATCCGGAATGACCCGGTCTGCCCCGACTGGAGACGTTTGAGTCTGACCACTACACTGTCGCCAGTGCTTGTCCAGGGCTGATCAAACGGCGTCGTGTAGCCACACACACCCGACTGACCTGAAACACACACACACGTGCCTCCTCATGTTATAACATATCAGGATAGATAGGTTTCAGACACGTATACAACCAGGAACAACCTTTCATTCCGAGACATAGGATTCTAATTATACTATTAATCTGCCTGAATACACTGCGGAGAACGTCTTATTTGTTGAATAACTGTAGGTCAGAAATCATTTTTTACGAATGCGATGTAGTAAGAGACTAAGGCAAAATAATATACTGAGGAAACGTGAAATTGAACCGTGAAAACGCCTTGGTTTTGCGCAAAGACACCAAGACATGATGATTGCAAACACAGAAATATCCCAATGCCTAAAGGGGTTGGTGGGGTAGCCTAGTGGTTAAATCGTTCGCTCATCACGCCGAAGACCCGGGTTCGATTCCCAAATTGGGTACAATGTGTAAAGCCAATGTCTGGTGTCCCCTGCCGTGATATTGCTGATACTCACTCACTCACTCACTCACTCACTCACTCACTCTTGCTGAAATGATCATTATGTTAATGTCAACCCATCGACAAGGCATTACCAGAAGTGGAAATGTTTCGGTGCAAAATGTGTGACATCAGTACTGCAAAAATGGCATATCATCGACCGCCGTCATATAGCAGGAATATTGCTGATTGCGGCGATACACAGCGTACAAACAAACAAAGACGCCACGAGTCACTTAAGGGGAGGTTGGATAGCCTAGTGGTGAAAGCGTTCGCTCATCCCGCCGAAGACCTGGGTTCGATTGCCCACGAAATGTGAAGCCGATTTCTGGTGTCCCCGCTGTGATATTGCTGAAATATTGCTAAAAGCGGCGTAAAACTACACTCAGTCATTCACGAGTCACTTACTGCTCAGGAAGGTGCCGTATGAATCCTTGACATCCACACGACTGCGGGGGCAGTCGCCCGAAAGACCGTCAGGAAGGGCGATGTCGAGGAACTGCACAGAGAGGTAGGCGTTGGTGTGGTAGAAGTTGCTTGCCGTGAGCGTAACTGAGCATGTATCGTCGTTAGGCCAGGAGTAACTCTTTAGCTTCAGGATCACGGAATCGAAGACAGTGATTGTACTGTCACAGTAGAAGTTGATGTTGTCTGGTGAAAAACACATGGAGAATCACGGAGTTGTTTACAACGTTTGATGTCATCGGTTCCCTTTTGCGCAGATCGATGCTCATGCTGTTGATCACTGGATTGTCTGGTCCAGACTCGATTATTTCCAGACCGCCGCCATATAGCTGGGATATTGCTGAGTGCGGCGTAAAACTAAACTAAACTCACTCACTCACTCAATTATAACATTTGATGTGTAATTTTTAATCTCTATGATCACAATTATGTATTTATTTATGATAATGATATGATAACTACCCCTGAACCGGCCACCACCGTTTCATGAAGGAAGCGACATCACCATATTCGCATAGAATTCATGTAGACTAACGCTTACTCTCTCAGTATACATAATTTTGATAGCAACAAACAATTTCTTATGAATTGAAAAGGGGCCCCAGTGAGATGGGAGATTCCAAACCTGAACCTGGGGAAATCTAGACTTACTACATTCAGAGTTTGCAGAAAGGGAAAAAGATGCGGTTCGGGGACTGTGAGACAGACTAAGGATTTATGTTTATTATTATCATAATTCTTCATTTGATCTGTGGTAATGTTCACCCAAATCCCGGAACATTACGAAATGCTGATCTTAAAATAATAAGTACCATTCCAACGTACGGAGTCTTAGAGATAAGTTAGACATACTCCAGGCTGAACTGGAATCATATGATGTCATTTGTATTTCAGAATCATGGTTGCACCATGGTATAGATAGCAATGATATCAACATTCCAGGATTCCATTTACCATTAAGAAAAGACAGGCAGAGTAGGGGTGGAGGTGTAGAAGTATATATTTATACTACTTGTCTTTCGAATGTATGAATGATTTAGACTTGCCTGAGCTTGAAGCAATATGGGTCAAAATAAGATGTAAGAAACGAAATTATCCAATTGGGACATTTTACAGGGCAGATAAAAGCGACGCCTATTAGAATTTAATAGAAGAATCTGTTGGTAACGCTAATGATCTTGGCTTGATTATAATTGTGACGGGTGATTTTAATGAAGATATTCTAACCACAGATTCGAGCAGAGTTGATCAAATCAAAGTGATAAATGGATTATCTCAAATCATAACCGATCCTACCTCTAGTACTTTGATTGATCTTATCTTTGTTTCACATGTTGCTACTGTACTAGAATCCGGTGTACTTGATCCTATATGTAGTGATCACTGTCCTGTGTATGCTACTTTGAAGGAAATAATAACTAAAACAGTTACATATAAATGAAAAATCTATGACTATACTTCAACCTACATCGAAGCCCTTACTGATGAACTCTTTTGATTGGAATACAATACTTTCCTCTCGTGATGTAAATCAAGTAGTAGATCAATTAACCAATAATTATCATAATTAATCTACTAGTATGTAACAAACACGTGCCTAACAAAATTATCACTATCAGGCCAAATTATGTGCCATGGATGAACAATGAAACCCGGAGTTTGATCCGAAAACGTATACGCTGACACAAGATTGCTAAACGGCGCAACTTACCTTCCGATTGGACAAAATTCATACTATACAGAAATACAGCTGTATCATCCGTCAGAACGGCAAAACAATTATGTACAGACAAAACTGATAATTTAAGTAATGACATTGTCAAGCATAGAACTAAAGTCTGGTGGCGTCTGATTACAAATTATACAAAAGGTCCTTTCCCCCAGTATTAAATAATGATCAACGTTATGACGCTAGCACTGAAATTGCAAATATAATGAATGAATATTTCACAAATCAAACAAAAGTTAGTTATCCAGACTGGGACGTTGAAGAAGTTGTTTCGTATACTGAGAATTCTTTATGTGATGTTTATCTGAACCCAAGCGAAGTCTATGATATTCTTTCTTCTGTAGATACTACAAAAGCAACATGCCCAGGCGAAATTAGTAATGTTTCTGAAAATGAATGCTCGATTTTTGGCTGCTCCTCTATCAGATGTCATTGAGCAATCCCTTTCTGAAAGTACCTTTCCTCAAGTTTGGAAGGAAGCCTCTGTCGTCCCTATTCACAAAAAGGTAGTATTAATGACTGTTCCAAGTATAGACCCGTTGCACTCTGGCAAATTCTTTTTTCAAAAGTGCGTTTTCAAACAGTCTTCAATTATTTCAGAGAAAACGAAATAGTTTCTAATCTCCAATGAATCCGGATTCAAACCAGGAGATTCTACTGGTAATCAAGTACGTATCTATATGATTTCATTGCCGGTGCAGTAGATAAGGGAAAAGAAATTAGAGCAGTATTTGGTGATGTAAGCAAAGCATTCCACAGGGTTTGGCACAAGGGTATCATTTATAAATTAAAAAGATATCGTATATATTAAATGGTTTGAGAGTTATCTTGAAATTAGAGAACAACGTGTCGTTATTAATGGATATAGATCTGATAATGCTGTTTTTGCCGGTGTACCCCAGGGTTCAGTTTTGGGGCCGGTCTTGTTTATTGTTCATATAATTGATATAGTTGAAGGCATAAATAGTAATATACGCCTTTTTGCGGATGATACAACTTTATATGCGATCATTGATGATCCCGAGGTAAGTGCTATTGTAATGAACGATGATTTACAGCGAATTGCCGAATGGGCAGAAAAATGGCAAGTATCTTCTAATCCCAATAAGACAGAGTCAATATGCTTTACTCGTAAATTGCAACCAACTCCAATGCCGAACCTAACTATGAATGGCTATGTCATTAGTTCCGTTCAAAGCCATAAACATTTAGGTCTTATACTTCAGCATGATTGCTCATGGAATGAACACATTAACGACTGTGCTAAAAAAAAGTGTCTAGGAAGTCTCAAATATCGTTTAAACCGAAAAGCATTAGAAACAATGTACAAGCAGTTCATATTACCAGTTGTTTTATTATTGCAGTCATATATGGAATAATTGTTTCAAACAGCAAGCAGATATACTTCAAAAGCTCAATCTTGATGCTCAAAGAACTGTGTGTGGTGCTGTTCGTGGTACCAGCCATCATAAAATATACAAAGAAACTAATTGTCAACCGTACTTTGATACTTTCATAAAATGACAATTTTTACAAAATGGTCAGTAACACTACGCCAAGTTATCTTAGTAACCTTGTTCCGCCTAGAGTATTAGATATCGTTGGCTATAATCTGCGCGATGATTCAAGTCTTCAGACTATAAACTGTAAATCTGTAAATTATTCGAGGTCCTTTCTTCCAGATACTGTTAAATTATGGAATTCATTAGAGAATCGCCGTGCCTATCGAGATTCAAAAATGTAATTTTAAACGATTCTAATATCTACATTCATTTTGACTTCAATTTCGCTTGCAGATTTTGTCAAATCAATTTTGTTTGGAAACCAAAATTGATCCTCAATAGTGAACAAAGAACTTCTAATTTTAATTATTTTTTTGTTTGGACAATTATGGAACAAAGAACTTTTAATTTTGGAGGAATTATTTTTTTACAATTATGGAGGATTAATTTGAAACCTGTAAAAACAACTCTTACACTAGACGCCAAAAGAAGGGTTACCCTCCTACCTTTATGAATTACTGAAAAACTATCAAAGATATGTTAGAAGGTTTTAGTTAACAAGAAAGCTTAACAACACAGCTTTATGCAAATCACGAAAACAAATTTCTCAAAAGCATTCATATTGAGGTGAAATGCATCTTTTTCAGAAAAGTTAAATTGTCCTATATTCGTCCATGCCGAAATAAACCAATAATAGTGATTTTGATGTCCAAAAGAAAGGTTGAAATAAAATTAATCATTCCTATGATTTCAGTGTTTTAAAACATTTTCTGCTGATTTGCATTAGTGAAAACAAGTAAAACATGTCTTTGATATTGTGAAAAAATGTTTACGAACATCTAAAATTATCTTTGCTAATATTTTTGCTTCCAAAGTACATGTAACACTTTTCCATTTTCTGTTTACACATAGCAATATCAATCGCCGAAACGCAGCAATATTCAAGCAGTATTTACATCCATTTCACATGTGGAATGATTCTGTAGGGTATGAAGAGAGCCTAGAATACATGATCTGATGCACAAGTACCAGAAATATGCCACGATTAACAGCTGAAGGGAGAGAAAGAGCCATTGGGATGGTGCAGATGGGGTCGACATACAATGATGTTGCAAACGCCTTCGGATGCCACCGTATCACGGTTATAAGGCTGATTTAGGGCTTCGGACAGACTGGGGTCACCGTAGACAAACCAAGAAGTGGACGTCCACGCATCACAACGCCAGCTGAAGATAGGTACCTCCGTCATTAAGGAAGGAGGGTAACGTTTCTTTTGGCGTTGAGTGTATACACAAAGAATTTAATTAAGCACCCCTGTATTTTTGCAATGATAGATTTTCAACACGTACATAAAACTTCTCCTGGTGTTTTTCTGACCCGTATGATCCTTTGACTCATAAAAAAAACGACAAAATGATTGGAATCCAAGTTGATTTTATGATGATAATTGCTCATTTGAAGAAACCCACTGATTTGCGTACAAAACCATGTCTATATATACGTATGACCCTGGAATGTTTTATGTTGAATTTATTGGTGAATGTGAACATTCAAAATGTCATTTTGCGTGTCTTACACGTTCAAAGTCAATACCGAGTGTAACCGCCACGTGACTGTATGACAGCCAGCACTCTCCTCCTCATACCCCCTGTCAGCCTCCTGATCCTCTGAAGGGGAAGTCTACGCCATTCCTGTAAAGCAGCCTCCAATTGGGCCAGGTTCCGTCCAGGAGGATCCCTTTGTTGCACACGACGACCCTCATATGCTCCAAAGGGTTAAGATCGGGGCTCATTCAAGGGGTGCTTAACTAAGATTTTTGTGTATAGAAAGGATTCTAGGTGATTAATTGTAGTTATTGGTCATCTGGTCATTTGAACGCATTTCACGACACCGCAAATGGCAAAGACTGAATTGAATTGAAATAACATGGCAATAACAAGTATAATTTAAATGTGTATATAATTCAGCTTTATGCCAAAACATGTACATCAACTGAGAAAATGGTATTTTCCAGAACTATATACACATACATGTATAATTATTATTTTCACAAGACAATACAATTTGATTAAGAACATAATACATTTAAGACTAAAAGAATATCTAAGGACAACTGTGGAATATCATAGCACCAGTGTCACTCATTGACAGTGCAGTAGAGGATAATCAGCATATATAGTAGCACCAATCCGCGGATTATTTCCAACTTACCCGAGGCAAACAAAACAAGGATTATTCGCATTTTACGACAGAATACCACAACACACTTTTGCCTTGTATTGTACGTAGATTGAATAAGATCAGCTGACAGGAGAGTTACGACCAGTTTAAGAAAACCTGTAAACAATGACTGGTGCTGTTGCAATACTAGCTGTAGTTGCCAAGAAAACGCGCTGAAGGAAGACAGTAAATTTTACTAAAAACACAATTATTTTAAGAAACCCACCAAAAATAATTAAAAACATAAAAATAGCATAGATATTACGATATTGCACCTTTATGTGAAAATGATGTTTTTACATTAAAGGGTGCAATTTTGTAATAAGAGTTAATACTCAACCATCAATGCATTTTTTTGGACACTCAAAGAACACTTTTTACGTTAAGTTTGCAACGCTGATTCCGTGAGCCGAAGCTGTTCCTATGAGAAGCCGGTGAAGATCCGGGTTAGAATTGGTCATCAGCAACCCATGACTGTCGTAAGAGTTGACTAACAGGATCGAGTGGTCAGACTCGCTGACTTAGTTGACCATATCATCGTATCCCTATTACGTAGATTGATGCATATGCTGTTAATCACTGGATTGTCTGGTCCAGACTCGATATATACCACCGTCATACAAATGGATTATTGCTGAGTGCGGCGTAAAACTAAACTAACTCTCTCCTTTGTGTAATAATGGCCATTATTTTAATCATTGATAGTTGTGTTGAAACTGTTGCTCAGTGACCACCTCTTGCGTAATATTACCACTCCACATTTTCAGGTTCTCCTTTTTTTGTGTAATATGCATAATTGGAATTTGCTGCTTTTTGACGATAATTAACAATGATGTCATATCAATGCTTTACATGCATAGATTGTTGACTTCTTTTAGAATAGATAGCTGAAGCTATGAGAGAAAAACGTGTTTCCTTCTTAATTAAAATAATGCAACACACCTGTACATACCACACACACACACACACACACACACACACACACACACACACACATGGCAATCGATCTAAAGACTATGTTTATGTTTGAATGATGTGAAGTATGTGATGTTTAATGGTTATGTCGCACAAACACAATAAAAAACATAATATTATCGTTGTCACCAATTGTGAAGAAAATGCACGTGAAATGAGTGGAATTCATCAGTAGAGACAATGACTATAAAAGCCCGATTCATTTACTTCATTGTATCACACATATTCATGAGGAATGAAAGACGCAAAATGCCATGACTGAATGCCGCTGACCGGAACATTGCTATTGGACGTCTGGAAGCTGGAGAAAGCTTCATTATAACGTCCACCAAAGCACAATATCTCGTCTGTGGGCCCGTTATACAGCATTCAATTCGACACGAGATCGCCCAAGAAGTGGACGACCACGAGTGACCATCCCCGCTCAGGATAGGTACATCCGGGTGTTCCACCTACGTCATCGGCAAGCCCGAGCCACGGATGCAGCAGGACGACGAGTATCCGACCAAACGATCCGCAACTGTCTGAGAGAGGCGGGAATTCGAGCGAGACGCCCTATGGTTGGGCCTGTGTTGAGCCGTCTACATCGACGTCGACGTCCTCGTTGGTGCACCACCGTACAGCCCTGGAATCTCGCTAACTGGAGAAGAATCTGGTTCAGTGATAAATCACATTTTCTCCTGCAACGCCATGATGGGAGACAACGTGTGTACCGACGTAGGAATAAAGTTACGCGCCTAACTGCGTACGACAGGTCGATCGCTTCGATGGGGGTAGTGTTATGATGTTGGGTCTAATTTCATACACTGGTAGGACCGACTTAGTGCTGATTCAGGGGAATCTGACTGCAAACCGGTACATCAACCAGATTCTTCGTCCACACGTCCGTCCGTCCTATTATCAACCGCTAGCGAGAGATCTTACAGCAAGATAACGCTCGACCCCATTCGGCACGTGTGACAATGGCCTACCTTGCCAATGAGAACATTAATGTCTTGCCATGGCCGTCCAGGTCCCTCGACTTGATCCCCATAGAACATCTTTGGGATCAGCTGGATCGCCGTGTACGTCAACGTCAACGGGTCCCGCAGACGCTTGGAGAACTTGCAGTGGCGTTACAGGAGGAATGGCTGAGGCAAGAATCCAAAGTCTCATTTGGTCTGTTCCGAGGAGGTGTCGAGCAGTGATAGCAGCACGTGGTGCTCACACTAGGTACTGACTCTAACGCCTCCTGGGGCCACACCTTGTACAGTGACAGGTCTGACAACGTGATGACACTTTACTATTTACAATACAGTTGTCAATCTGTGTACGCAATTAGGTTCAATTTGGCTCACTAGGTTCATTCTGCTATGATATATGCTCGTTTGCATAAACACAATATAAATCCTGATTTTTCCCGATGCGTTTCTTTTTTTGAAGAGTGTAATAGTCTCGTTCAATCGCGATATCACTTTATCGCCTTTTCATGTCGTGTTTTCCCGTCGCTTTATCGCTTTTCGTGTCGTGTTATCACTGTGTTGATATTGCTATTCCCTGTTTGGTTGCATCGCAATGTTGCTACATGGTGTCGCCAGGCCGTGTCCTGCTATCTCTTTGTCGCCATACCACCTGGACTTTGGCAGTATGGCGATGGCCCCAATTAGCCCTATGCATAATCGACAATATACTCGGAGCAACGAGAAAATACTCGAAATTTCAAGTTTTTGAAATATCATAACGATTTCAATTGTCTAGTCTATTGTTTAATATATAAAGTTTTTGGCCATGCATAGAGAGTGGGATGAGTTATTTACTTCCTTATCTGACATGTCGACATGTCAGTGAATGCTGTCACAGAGCTTATCTGTACATGAATACTCAAGTTACATAATCATATACATAAAAGCATATAGAGTAACAAGTTAAGTCATTATATGGAGTCCTTAACACCTCGGAGATGGCGGACTGACGCCACAAAATACATGTATATTTTGAGAATAAAGGCTTGGCCGGTCCTTATGACGTTGTCATCTGTCATTAGGGATTGTTGATTGACGCCCCTGTAGAGACTCCCAACTTCATTATAGGTTAGTAAATTATAGCTCAAAGACAATTTATTCATGTCCATCTGATTTTATAAATACTGAGGCTGAGGGGTGGACGGACGGAGGGCGGGACAGGGACGCTCTATCATCGACACGGGACGCTCTCTCCGTCCCCTGTCCTGGGCTCTCGGTCACGTTCTTCGTCGACGCCTACCAGTGCCCGTAAATAAAGACTCTACCTTAAGACTCATGTCCAAATTGTCGATCCTGATACCCCCAAAGTAAATAATACATTCCCCACTCTCTGCACAGCTAATACTGTCAAGATGGATTATGTTGGACGTTGTACGTGGTTTAAAGATCATAAGGTTATTTCTCTACGAGGTAGTCGTACTTGTACCGGGATAGCGAAGTCTTACCTGTACTAGGGTATCCAAACACTGTCACGGTAGCCTGTAGAAGTAAACACAAGCTGAGAAGAGACGCCATTTTGATCCTTTACCGCTTATCTCACTAAAGATATGCGGTGCAGAGTGACCTGTGACGAGGTAGAAAGATAGGGTCTCGAATTACAGCTATCTATCAGGAGTCACTTCATCACGTTACTCCATTGTCAGATAACGTCATTCCAGTTTCACTATTGTCAACTGTTAAAAAAGATATATGAACAATCGCCACTATAAGATACTCATTAGATTACTGATTACTGATTCAGCAAACTTTGATTTGGGAAGAAGCGGGTTCGGGTGATTAGGCTCGCTGGTTTGGTTGATAACGACATCCCAATTTCAATATGATATCTACAAGTGGACGGTCTTGTCGAGACTGCATTATTTGCAGGAAGTCGTTATATACTTTCATTATTCTTTCAATATTCCGTGAAACCAACAAAAAAAGCTATGTGTAAAAATGTGTTGAGGTACTGATCGCGTGCAAAATGCAAGAGGTAAACCGTGACGACAAAGCATTATTAGCCTAAAATATCTGCCGAAACACACAGTTACATGGTCTGTCTCAGTCCCTGAACCATATCATTTTCCCCACTGCATAGTCCTCCCTGCAATGATGACCGCCTCAGTTGTGTAGTGGTTAGAGCGTCCGCCCGGAGAGCGGAAGGTCGCGGGTTCGATCCTCGACAGCGTCATACAAAAAGACGTTAAAATATGGTACTTGTTGGTCCCTGCCTGGCGCTCGGCATTAATGGGTACAACAAGGACTGGTCAGCTCGGAGTCAGTATACTGTGTCTGAGTGGGGTATTCATGCTTCACTCCGGCATGGTATCTCAGTGAGCTAGCTCTATAAAACCAGCTTAATTCTGGGCTAGTACAAGCAGCCGCACATACACATACACACGCATGCACGTCGTCATACGAGTGAAATATTCTCCAGCACGACGTTAAACCCAATTTCACCTCACCTCACCCTGCAATGATAAAGTCCTAAATTAAGTAAAAATGGGTTTGTGTTACTATCAAAATTATAATATTCAGAGACTCAACGTTAGTCTATCAGCAGCACGTAAAATACAAATACTGATGAATATGTGGTGTGGTGGGCGAGCTGGCTAATGCGCCAGACTAGTGATCCAACGAACTTAAGGTGACGGGATCGAGCCCACCTGTGACCGGGTGTAAAAACCTTAGAGTCAACTTTGTGTGCAGACACTTTCAGTGTTGTCACAACCTCTAGTATACTGTACAGAACCCACGAATCCGTTGGTATATGACCAGATGGTGGCCACATGAATACGTGCAAACACCTGCTTGCGGGTACAGCAACGTGCAATGAACTTAAACAAAGTACTGTGACTGTGTGTCCCAGTCCACCCAGCTGTAAATGGGTACCTCGTAAGGATGAGAAAGCCGCAATAACTCAATGCGCCTTGTGGCAGCAAGAGTTACATGATCCCCAGGGAGTTGAGATTGATAACAAGATGTACCTTTGGGATTGACATCCAGTGATCGAGGGAAAAATACCAGCGCCTAGAGCATGCACTAGTGCGTGGATATATGCGCTATATAAATATTCAATAATGATAATATTCTATGAACTAATCACAGAAAACTGTGGCAACATCAGTGTTCGCGAGAGAAACGTCCACCCTACCAGTAACACATGCCGCTCACTAACACTTATTTAATACCTAACGGGGAAATACCGTAGGGGTAACGATTTATGTTCGTTTTTGAAAATGATTGTCGCTGAAAATTTTAAAATATTAAAGAAAATTATGCTGCGGGCTGACAGAGTAGTGTATATCCTGAAATGTGTTAATCAGGCTCATTGTTTCAAAGTGTCCCGGGATATCGACCATTTCGGGTGTGCCATGAACCCAGTAACTAAACCGTCGATTTTAGAGCCAGGGGCGTGGGGCACTGGCAACAGCGCAATAGTGTAGTGTTTGCAACTTGGAAGCCACAATCAAAACAATTTTCAAAATGTTTACGTGTGTGTACTTTCTTTTGTACGTCAGTTTAGTTGAGCATATACACGTGCTAATGATATAGATGAGGTGAGGTGAAATGGGGTTTAACGTCGTATTCAAGAACATTTCGCTCTAATGACGACGTGCATGCGTATGTGTGGCTGCTTGTACTAACCCAGACTTAAGCTGATTTTATAGTGCTAACTCATTGCCACAGCCACAATACCCAGCTCAGACACATTATACTGACTCCCAGCCGACAAGGGCTCGTTGTACCCATTAATGCGGAGCGCCATACAGGGACCATGTCTTTTGGAATGACGCGGCTAGGGATCGATCCCGCGACCTTCCGCTCTCCTGGCGGACGCTCTAACCACTACGCCATGGAGGCGGTCCTAATGATATAGTCAAAATGGTTTGTCCTGATTATGAAAGGGTTTTCCTGAAGTGTACCGCTGTTACCCCACTGGCATATTGCCGAGTGCGGCGTAAAACAACCAACCAACCAGACGTGAAGTAAAAACCTCCAACACCGGGTGTCCCACAGTAACAGTCTTGGCGACGCATGTAGCAGAGGGGAGAGTCGGCAAACCATGATGACAAACATCAGTATTCATTTGTCTTTATTTCACGTTATTTTCAACAAAAAACAGTACATAAGGTCCGCTTCAATGTCTAACAAGCACTATCTGGGGGATCAGCTCCTTCACTGCTGATAGTGGAACGGGTAGGGATACCCTGGGTACAGACTGGGAGGGTACATTATCGGTACGTTGGGTGCTGGGTACTGATACATGGGCTGGTGCATCATGGGAGGCGTGTAGCCGTATCCTGGAGCAGACGACAACATGGCCGCCATGTTTTGCTGCTGGAGAGGGTAGTTCATCATCTTGGTTTCGGATGCTCTCTTGTTGCGTGATCGCCTGTTCTGAAACCACACCTGTGAGGAAAAAAAAGAATAATTTGGTAACTCAAAGAAACAGCATTAGCACCACTATTACACTGATTCTGACATCACATAAGAAACGCATAAGGAGAAATGTTTTCAATCAGATAACATAGGACTTCTGTCGAACAAAAGGCTCAATTAAGAGGAATGTTTTCAGTCACATCACTTGACATCTTACTCCAACAGAAGACTGAATGAGACGAAGTTAACAATCATCATTACATCATTATGCTGACATTGTGTACGTAATGTACGTAACAAGGTACAATCAGATTACAAAAGAATGTTTACCTTTAATCTCTTTACTGGAATATTCAGCTCCTGGGACAAATCTTCATACAACTCTACATCAGGGTATTTGTTCTCCAGAAACACCTGCTTCAACCTCCCCGCTTGCTTCTCGTTGTAGTTCTTCCTCGGATTCGCGGAGACACAGTCTTCCTCCAGTGTCTTTGGTGAGGACCTCTCTGACACAATTTCTTCTTCCTCGGTAATGGAGGATGTTTCCACAGAGACATGATCTTCATCCTGACCTTTTGGGGAACCACGATCATCCTGAGTACCTGTAGAGATTCGCCCTGAGAGGGAGGAACTGTCGGCGCTGTGGGTCGGGCTGGAGTTGCTGTAGAAACCACTGGAAGCTGTACTTCCGTTTGGACTGGCGCTTTCGACATCAATGAGGTCATCTGCTGATGTACGGAAACGCAATAACATATTAACAAGCAGAGAGTGATGTTTTACGCTGCTTTTAACAATAATATCACGGTGGGGAACACAAGAATTGGGCTTCACGTACCGTATCCACCGTACCCATGTAGGGTCTCCAGCATGACGGCCGAACGCTAAGCTACCCCACCCCCTTAAAAGCAGTGGTGTGTATACTAGGATAATATTATTTATTCGTAGTAGTACATAGTATACTGTCTCTCGGTGTAAAGCATACATTAATAAATCGACCAATTCATCAGTTAATACATAAATAATTACAGTAAATTGAGAACATAATTTCTTTCACAGAATATTAGTATGTTACAGGTTCCTGATCCACGTATGTGTAATACAGCAATCTTACCATAAGCATCGCTTGATGATGGAAGCGTGCTCGTCTTCAGAATCCGGACATCCAGTTGTTCTACGTGTGATGGACACAGGCTAATCGGTAGGCGGATGGTAGGGGGCGTGTCTGTACGGGTCTGGAGACTGAGGGGTAACTCAGGGTAGGACTGGAGGTGGTGAAGACTGACAGGAAAAGGAGGAAATTCACATCTTTCGATTTTGTTTTGAAGGTAACATCTGTAAGGGTGACTGAGCTTTCCATCAACTTTGGATGTCTGCGGAGACTCGGGTGTCTGACAACGAAGAAGATGTTCAAGTTTGAGGCCTCCGAATCCTTGGGGATTGGTCGTTGCTATGAAGCCTTCACATGCTGCTTCCGGTATGGTTAATGAAGTCCTGTCTGTGATTCTGGGCTCTGAGGTCTGGACGTCATCTGACTTCATGATGTCCTCGATGGAGAATGGAACACGACGTCTGGGAGGCGCTCTCTGGGCCTCTGAGGACAACGTATTCGTGGGACTTTGGAACACACTTCCAGGTGGAGTCGGAACAGCCTCGGGCACAACCTGAAACGTAGTAACGAAGGCAGATGCTATATTCACAGGTGTACAGGTAAGCTACAAAGTCAATGCCAGATAATAACCAGTCTCGATTATCCGACTAAATAGTTTCCATTGGGCGTGAGCATTTCCTGACTCACAGGAAGCAGTTACAATGTCAGTAGTCAGCCTTGTACACAATCAACCAGCACCACATTTTTAGATTTTACGCTAACCGAACTTACAAGGATGGAATGTGCTCTCTACTTACTATGAGCAGATAGATATGAAGTGGAAAGGTAAAAGGTATAATACAAGAAATTGCATGAGTCACGATAGTCTAGGAAGTTAACAGACATGTCTTGAGACATAACATACTTGAACAACACTAACATAGAGGCACAAAATGAAATTCATCTTCAGTAAGATTTTTTCCGCATTATATATGAAGTGTGTGCTGTACGAGACATGGTGTTAATAGGTGTTAGTCAATTCTGACGCAACATGTTTCTGTATAACACATCATGACATGTAAATTCAATGTAAACCATTCACTGTTCTTTACATTA